AAACAAACCGGTTGCTCTCCTACTAAATAATAATCACTAGCAATGCTTTTCTTACATAAGGAACAAGTAATTTGTGGTGTCTGCTTCTTAATTTTATCTTTGTTTTCACTAACAATACAATTTTGACAATAATATCCCGACTTGCTTTCCATAGTATAGTCCTCATCAGTTAATTCAATAAACTTTCCGCAACTCTGGCAAGAAAAAGCCTCATTAATTCTCTGGGCTAAATTGGCTTTGCTTTCTTCCTCGGCTAATTTTTTAACTTTTTCGTAAAACTCCTGGCTTTCTTCTTTTATTTCTTCCTTTTTGCTGTTTCAATAGCAACCAGAACATAATCCGGACGGACTAAAATCCCCTCATTGCTCACATTTTTGACATTTTTTTCAACCCTGCTTGGTTTTACAATCTGGGTGATAAGGATCGGACTCCGCCATTGACTGGGCTATCGAGCCATCACGATATCCTTCCTTATTTAATAACTCACCACATAGTAAGCAGCGAGGGTAAGTTCTTCCACGGGACATATTTTTAGTAATAAATAGACATTTTTTTAAAGTTAATCGTTAAAAGTAAACATTTTTTTTCTATCTTCTTCCTTTACATTCCTCCTCTTTTTTCAAATCTTATGCCTTCTTCCTCTAATCTTTTTCTTTTGGCTTCTGATTTATCTCCTAGTTCATCAAAAGAATAACCTCCAAGAGAAAAGTCAGAGTTTATAACTCTATGGCAATAAACATTGTCAGAAACAATGATGGTATTATCAGAAGTATTTAAATCACAGTCGTGGCGTTTTAAACATTTAGCAACTCCTTGTTGTCCTCGTGGTGAACCTAACTTTTTAGAAATTATACTATAAGTAGAAAAGCGACCTTCAGGTATTTGTTTGACTAACTCGTAAACTTCTTTTTTGGTGAACTTCATTTTTTTCCTATTAAAATATTAATATAAATAATTTTATACTTTATACATATTGCTTACATAATAATCAAAGTAGGTATATGACAAAAAAGTGTATGACAAAAAAGTGTATGACAAAAAAGTGTATGACAAAAAAGTGTATGACAAAAAAGTGTATGACAAAAAAGTACAATCAAAGCGAATTTGAATGCGACAAATGCCAACAACCTTTTATTCGACGCTGAAGTGCTAAGGACGAAGAATGAAGCAAAATCAACGAAGTAAAATACTGAACTGGTGGAAAAAAATGAAACGATTATCAAATAATCTGTACTGACTGTTTAAGTGAATGATTCACTAATTATCGTCGCGACTTTTCTACTCTGGTTGACAAGGAGAAGAAACAACTTTTTTATTATTACCGCTATGTCGGCTTACTTTCTAAGCAAGGAGAAAACAGCGTGATAAACTAAAAATTTTTTAAATATAAATATGTATAAAATATGTAAATTAAAATTTCTAATATGACATAAAAAGGCACAGAAATAAGAAAGATAAAATTAGCAATCTTTTAATCACTATTCTGCACTAAGAAAAAGTTATTAAAAGAAAATTAACTCCTTGCCCCAGTATTGAAACCAGGACAAGTAAAGGAACGGCCATGCTCCTTAATTAAATTTTATATACTTTTCATACAGAAAGGGGTAGGGATTGTCTAAAAAATTAGTTATTATGAAGATGATATAAATCTGATATAAATATTGGCCATGCCCCGCTCAAAGTTTAATTGAAAAGTAAAAGGAACAAGAAGCAAAAAGTTAAGGAGTGCTCATTCTTTTGCCGAATTAGAACTCTTCATCCACCAAGCCAAAAAAGCCGGTCAAAAATCCCAACTTAAAAACTACCGTTCCCTCTACCGCCAAAAACTTAATGCTTGATCAGCCTCCTGACAAGCCGGTCGGCAAAAACTCCTCGCTAACCAACAAAAGCGTCGCTTAAAAAAACAAGCCCTCCTCCGTAGCCAACAAGCCAAGTCAGAAGCCAAGCAACAAAAAAAACAAAGATTAAAACAAATCTACTCTTACTTCCACCAACAACTAAATAAATTAGAAAAAAGTAAACATCCTCAATATTTTACCCCCCATTTAGATTTACCTCCTCACTTAGCCAAAGGGATAAAAAAACTCCAAAGGCAACACCCCGACTACAACCCCTGAAAAGAATTTGGTAAATACACCACTTATCGTTTAAATAAACAAGGAAGTAATTACTTACTTAGAGAGACTAATCGGGCTTATCAGGAAGAACTTACTAGCCAAAGCAATCAAATCCGCTACTGACAAGAGAAAGCGGGATTAACCAAAGTCCATCCTAAACAACTGCTTAAAAGAGGGCAAAAGATTAAATTATTTTTTCCGGAAAAAGGGGAACATAAAGATTTTTATCGGAAAAAAAAAGAATTTAAGCAATTGTGACAAGAGATTTTAACCAGAGAAGGTTCGATTCAAGATAGAATCCGAGTTAGTGAACTATCCAAACAACTCTACTTAAAAAGCCCTTGAAGAATAAGAGACCGCTTCTTAATTCCCACCACTCAACCCCCTAAATCCTTCGGCTTTGAGGATATTTGAACTAAATATTATAAGAATAATCCTTTTACTCATACTAGAAAATATTATTTAAAAGCCTGACAGAAGATGTGAATTAGGACTACTCCTAGGGGGGAGGAGGTTCCGGAAGAAGAAGTAGAATTAGATAGGTATGGAATGCCTAAAATAAAAGCAGGGCAAGTGATAAGGTTGGATAGTAATAAGCCTGGGAGGATGTGGAGTGTATGACGCAAAGTTCCTAGTTTAGAGGAGATAGTAAAAGAAGAGGTGCATGATGTAGCCCAAGAACAATATATATTGCAAGAAGGGAGTGCTTTGGAGATTCAGACTTGGAGGTTGAAGAAGGATAAGGCTTTGTGTTGGGTGGAGGCGATGGGTATGGGAGATTGTAAAAGTAATCAAGGTACCTCGGCCTGGTTTTGTTTATTTTGTTTGTTGTATGGGGAATATCATCCTCCGGTGTTGCCTAAGCATTGTCCTTGGTTATATACCTACAAGACTTGGTTGTGTGGCAAAACCCAACATGCTGATGCTAATAAGCAGTGGCATTTTTCAGTAGAAGGAGAGCGAATTAGAGATAAGATTAAAGGGGGGGATTGAGGAAGTTGTCATATTGGGACTTTTAGTAAGCCATCAAAAAAAAGGCATCGCGGATGAAAAAAACCACTAACTAATTAATAATATGAAAAAAACTACTTACTGATTAGACTGAAAAAATAAGATAATTAAGCCCAGCAGCTCCGGGTTGCAGGAAATTTCTTGAAAAGAAATATCTAACTATCCTTTTACAGTTTACTGCGATACTGACACTTGGCCCTTGATTAACCTATATGATAAAGAAAAAAAAATTATTACCGACCAAAAAAAACGAACCCATCAAATTGGCCGTGCTATAATTAAAGAATTGAGAGGAGGAACTGAAGAACATCCAGAAGGACTAGGCACCCAAGCTATTAAACTACTATTTGAACTAGTGCCAGACTTTCCAGAA